CCTCCTCCTCTCCCTTCTTCCCTTCTCCTCTCTCCCTCCCCCTCCCTCTCCCTCCCCTAGAGGAGACAGAGCCCAGGGCCTTTCTGCAGAGCTACATCCCCAGCCCTTAGAGATAGAATCTTTCTAAATTGCCTGGGCTGTGATCAAACTTGCAGTCCTCCTGGCTCAGCCTCTCAGGGTGCTGGGCCCTCTCTCCCAATCACTCCCCTCCCCCTGTGGTTCAGGTCACCCCATCTTTATCCATCTTTCCCCATGCACAGCTGTGCTGGCAAGTTCTGGCCCCAGCATCGCTCAGCTCCGCTTTTGTTTCCCTTTGGTCGGGAGGAAGAGTGCAGCTGCCTGAGGGTGCTGGGGTGCAGCCTTTCCATCCCAGCCCTGCCCCTCTGTCTTTTCCGCACTCACAGTGTCCCGCTCACCCAGCGCCACTGCTGTCATGGCTCGGAGGTTGGTGTCCCCAAACTCTGACCCTGTCCTGGGGTCTCTCTGAGGAAGCAGCATCGATCCAGTCACCAGAGGGCCCTGAGGGGGACAGGAGGAGAAGGAGCGCTCTCCACGTGGGTGCACCTTGGCCTGGAGTGGCGTTGCTCTGTCCACGGGGGACATTCTCTGCCTCCTACTTATGAGTCTGCAGCTCACAACTTCTTTCTGTTTCTGTCTGGAAAAGTGTTTATTCCTCTTTCTTCCTCCAGGCTGTCCTCCTGCCTCAGCGTCCCGAGTGCTGAATTGCGGGAGTGAACAGTCACTTTTTAAAGTGTAAAGTTCGGTAGCTTTTAGTATTTCACAGGGTTGCACAACCATCCCCACTAACTTCAGAACATTTCCATTACCCCCAAAGAAACCCTCACCCAAGAGGTTAAATACTGCATGGTGTTATTGTACAAGAAACCCAAAATAAACATCAGGCAAGAGCAAAATAAAGGCGAGGTGATGGGAAACAGAGATTGTGCTTCTGCAGCAGGAGGCCAGGAGTGGAGGAGGAGGGACACGAAAGGGACAAGGATGCTTCCTGTTGTGCACGGAGCCTGCCGCGAGCGCTGCCCAAGTGGCCAGTGAAGGCAGAGCCGAGAAATGCCATCCTCAATGCCCACCCAGGCCTTGCCGCAGCCCTCGGGGTGGCCGGAGCCTGTGCTGTGCTCCTGGACCCGTGTGTGCGCCTGGGCGTGTGCCCGTGTGTGTGTGTGAGGCTGCCCGTGTGTACAGGTACACGCGTGCCAGTCTGTGCACATGCGTGTGTGTGCCTGTGCCCATGTGCGTGTCTGTTTGCACCTGGCACTCGTCTCGCTGGAGGTGCCTGAGCTCTTGTCTCTGGCCACTGGCCTCACCCTCTCGGCTCCGGTCCTTGGCTCCCAGTCTGTCTTCCCCACACACAGGGGCTCCGGCCCTGCTGTTCCCGCCGAGCTTCTCGTCCTGCACCCCTCCAGCGCCCTGACGGCATCTCCCACGCTGTGGCCCCTCCTTGAGCCGGCTCGCTGAGGCTCAGGCAGAGCTGCTCCTGTTCTGTTCTCTGGTTTTGGGGGTTAGAGTTCCTTTCCCCTCCTCACACCATCTCCACCTCTGTAGAAATCCCCTGCTGGCCTGACGGTGCTCACTGTCCTCCAGTGGAACTGATGTACACATGTACAAATCCGTGTCACTTAACTTTTCTGCCTTATACCATGATTGTCTGCCTTCCCTTGCTTTCTCACTCTCCCTTGGTGTGTCCTCCCCTCCATCAGGGTCTCACTGTATAGTCCAGTCTGGCCTTGAGGTCCTCCTGCCTCAGCCTCCAGTGTGTTTGGATTCCCAGTTTGCACCACCTGTCTCAGGTTTCTTTCTCTCCTTTCTTGTGTTGTAGCTTTCGAAGGAATGCTGGACCTCACATGTAAGACAGGACACAAGTCAGCAGTGCCTATGCTAGGAATCAGGGACGGCTCTTCTGCTGGGCACAGATGTATGCACACGTGTGTGTCTGTGCATGTGGTGCACGTGTGTGTAGGGTCAGCCTCATGGGGCTCTGAAGCCATCCAGACTGGCCGGGACCTGGGAGCTGCCTGCCCAAGGTCATGGCTGGGTGCAGGGCTCAGTCACGGGTGCTGCCTCCATACGAGCAGTGTGGAGTCCATCAGTGCTCCGCACCTCTGTAGGCCTACCGAGTGGCACCAGTCACGGTGGAGTCTGGGCCCTTGCCACACCAGCATGGAGGACAGCAGGGCAGCGGCACTGAAGATCTGGGGTGGCCTTGGACGAGGGCAGGGGGCTCCACTCCTGACCCTGACCCCTGTGCCCCTAACGCCACTCCCCACATCACACCTCACAGCCCACCAGACGCAGAGACAGCCTTGTGTGACGGTGCCACTGCATGGGGTCTGACAAGGCCGTGTGGGGACATGGCCGGCAGGCGGTGGTCAGGCAGGGGGGACAGGGATGCCAATGGACCTCCAGCCCCAGGGCTGAGGGCTGCGCTGTGTGGCAGGCATGGCTCACACACACATGCAGCTCACTGAAACGTTGCTGTCAGGTGTGGTGGGGCACACCTGTCAACCCAGCACTCTGGAGGCTGAGGCAGGAAGATCCCCTCACATTCCAGGCCAGCTTGAGCTCCATAGGGAGTTCAAGGTCAACTTTAACTATATAGTGAGGCCCTGTCTCAAAAAACCCCCAAATAAAGATTGCTACAGCAACCCTTACAACGTCATTATCAAAAAGGCTGGGATGACAGCTGCACAGATTGGCTTGGTTTAATCTTTTCACAGGGATCAGGGTCAGGACCTCAGCCACCCAACGTCCCAGTTCTTGGGCTGGTGAGAGAGGAGTTTCCATAGGAGGCCACGGCCTTACAGGTGAATGAACTTTTTTCTTTTTTTTTTTTTTTTTTTTTTTTTTTTTTTTTTTTTTTTTTTTTTTGTACTGGGGATCAAACGGGTCCTTGTGCTCACGAGGCAGGCAGCGGAACTACTGAGCTGAATCCCCAGCCTGAGTGACCTTTCATTTGTCAGTAAAATAATTAATTCCTGACTTCTCTATAGCACGGGAAATGCTGCTTTCAGAGAGATAGAGTGCAGGCTCTTGACCTGGGTATGGGCTTCCCCAGCAGATCCCAGGCTTAGTTTATTTTCTGAGCACATCCACCCCTGCCGTAGAACTGGGTGCCAGTCACTATCGAGAGAGCTGCACATCTTGAAGGGATGTACACCCATCACTTCAGCTCTGGGGAGGCTGAGGCAGGACAGTTGCTGTAGGTTTGAGGCCAACGTGGCTACATAGTGAGTTAAAGGTGAGCCTGAAGCACACAGTGAGACCCTGACTCAGAAAGCAGAGAGAGGGAGAGCAAGTGAGTGCTTGGCTGTGTTAGGTCCTGGACATGGGAACCTATACATTCAGCAATCACTGAGTATCTCAGGTCAGGGCAGCTGAGAACAGCTTGCCACAGCTCCTTCTGGTCTGATAGGGACTGGGGGCTGGGAGTTCATGGCCTGGCTTCCCCCTCCCTAGCCTAGGCACTGGAAAAAGCTCACAGTGAAAAGCCTGGCACCAGAGCTGGCTTTCTGGCTGGGAGACAGGGGAGACCTGGGGTCCACTCCAGCCCCAGCCCTGGCTCTGGCCGCAGGGACTCTGTGGCCAGGAAATGGGGAGCCACTGCTACTCCTCCCAGCTGCTCCTCTCTCTCAGGAAGTGTGCCGGCTCCAGGCTCCCGTTCCCACTTGAAGTCAGGACGTGGGGCTCCAGCACCTGATGTTTATTGGGGCTATTTCCGGCTTTATGAAGGTGACCTCAGGACAGTCGCAGAGGGCTGTGCACTTTCCGGGCTCTGCTTGGGGGCTGTGTGTGTCCCCCGAGGATGTTCAGACAAGGAGGGCACAGTGCTAGGCATGGGGGTGCAGCACCAGGGTCCCCTCCTGACAGGTGCTGCTGCTCTGCTGAGTAGATGGGAGAAGCTCTTGGCTGGGGTAAACCGAGGCATGGTTCCCATTGCTGTGAGGCACTCAGATGCACAGGGCAGGGGCTGGTCCCTGTCCTCCGCTGGAACTGTGCGCAGACAGCTTCCACAAGGATGGTGGTGTGGGGCTGGAGACCACTGTGTGCACTCACACACACAGACTCCGACACACGCACGTGTGCACACTCACAGACACAGGCAGCCTTCCCGTCTGTCTGTCCGCCCCGTCCAGCTGTGCCAGGCAGCGGTGTTAGGACCCAGGAGCGGGCGTCAGGCGCTGACATCACTTGCTCCACCCGCCCTGGATGAGGTGCGAAGGAGCCAGACCAGGCGGGACAGCAGGCGGGCGGGAACAGGAGTCTCAGGAACCTCCCAGCGCCCACACCAAGGCTCTGGGGTTGAGGCGCTGGGAACAAAGCAAGGCTGGCCAAGTCGGGCAGCTCTGCCTCCTTCCCTGGGCCTCGGCTGGAGCCAGCAGCTTCTCCGGCGTCCCGCTGGGACTGCCGCCAGTGACCCAGCCGGCCTTGCTTCACTGGAGCTGAGCTGAGCCAGAGCAGAGTTTCAGCTGGGGCGGGGGGACATGCGCCTCTCCAGGGGCAGGCGGAGGTGAGGGCCGGCAGCCGGACTCCGCAGTGGCCATGTGGGCCCTGTGCTGTGGGGCCTCCTGGCTGCTGCTCCTGTGCTGCTCTTGTCAGGTAGGGCACCCCAGGCTGTGGCGTCCCAGCTGGGTGTCTGCGGGACCCTCCATGTCTCACGCTGTCACCTTCCCTGCGCAGGTGCGAGGAGTGCAGCCCCGGGCCCAGGACCACCCAGGTAAGCCCCTTGCTCAGTGCCTCCTCTGTCTGTCCATGAAGCCCTCAGGCTGCCAGGGGCCAGCGTGCAGGCTCTCTTTGCCTGGCCACTCCACCATGGGTCCCATCAGGAGCCCTGGTGACAGTGGGTCTCCGTCCTGCGCCTCTTGCTGGGGCCTAGGAAATCCGGAGGAGGGAGCCTCTTCCCGGGCTCACGCTGCATGTCCTGTGGCAGCCCCTCTGGGTCCCCAGAGGGCCACTGTCCTGGGTGCTGGGGCCTCCAAGCAGGAGTGGCGGGATTTGCTTGGGACGATGGGGTGCAACCCTCAGGGCCGGGGACTCTGCAGCCCAGGGCTCCATGGGGCTCTCGGATGGGGATCCCTGCACGGGCCACTTCGTCAGGAGACGCTGGGGCTGTGAGCGGCGCTGGTGGGACCCCAGACTGCAGAGCCTCCAGGGGAGCAGCCTCCCAGGCTCAGCCCCCACACCACTGTCACTCAGCTTTCCTCACCCAGCTGCTGGGGCGGCACCCCAGGTTGGGATGTTCAGTCCTCGTCTTGGCCGCCATCCACCCACTTCGGGGTGAGGACACCACTGCCTCCGTTTTCCTAGCATTTTGAGCTGTGTCTTAGACCCTGTGCTCGGAGAGGCTGAGGGTTCCCCAGTTCTCCTTTCTTCGGCGGGGGGTGGGGGCCCAGCCCCAGATGACCAGGACCTTGCTCCCACTGAGGCCAGCGCAGGGAGGAGCTAGCCGTTGCCCCAGGAGTCCCAGGCCAGGAGGCGAGGGGGCACGGGGCCTGCAAGGCCCCTTTCCAGCTTCAGCCTTGGCCACGGCACCCACTTGGGTCTGCACAGCAACACACAAGCACACACATCCACACACATGTGCACATGCATCTGCACATGTCCACGTGTGAGCCCCCCAGACCCGGCTCTCGAGGAGCAGTTCAATTCAGTCTATTCCAGACAACTTTGCTTCTCCCTGTTGCGACTGGGGAAGAAAAGTGCTTTCTGAGCAGGTGCTGCCTGGGGAGGGGAGCTGGGTGCTGCCTGCCTGCCTGCCTGTCCAAGACTGCCCGGCTGGTCCTGCCCACTCTCTCTGTCCTTGCTCTCCCTTCCCTTGGACACTCATGTCCACCTGGCGCGGGAGGGTGAGCTAGGCTTTCATGCCCGCGCAGGTGCCCAGGTACCATCCACACGGCTTCCTGCCTCCCCTCTCCTCCCTTTCCTCCTTCCCCTGTTTTCTCCTCCACCTTGCTTCCTGCACCTGGTACTCTGCCTGCTGCCCCTCAACCTGCCCTCTGTGCTCTGTGGGTGCTGCCCCCACTGGGAGGCGAGCTGGACCCAGCCATGTGTCTGTCGGGAGGCAGAGGCTGCAGACCTGGCCCGTCACCCAGGGCCAGGGGACAGCTAGGGCCGAGGACCTGGCAGGTGATGCGTGTGTCCTTCAAGCAGTGATCTGTGTGGGTCACAGAGCTGATCAGACATGGGCTTAGCTGGGAGGGAGCGGGCGGACACGGGTGCCTGCCAGCCAGTGCCAGGCAGGGGAGGGCGGTGGCCATGCCTAGGTGCTGCGGCTTCGGCAGGTCCAGGACAACCACAGCCTGCTCACCACAGCCACCCAAATTCCGATTTAGATAAGAATCACCAATCTCTGAGTCCATGAGAGCCATGGGGGGTGCTTGTGGGGTGACCTGGTATCTGTGCCCTGTTTCTGTCCATGTTGAACCCTCCGGGTTCTCATCCATCCTGTGTGCATCAGTTTAGTTGGAAAATAGTCTCAGAACAGAGCTCAGCCGCACCTCCGCCTTCTCCATGCTTGTGCTTGACCGCGGCTGTCGCTGTAGAGAACTGACAGACACAGGCAGGCCTGGCCCCCTCCAGTGCCAAGGGGGAGATGGCCAGGGGCTGCAGGGTGAGCCCTCCCTGCAGCCTGTTTCCCATGACAGCCACACGGTGTGAGGCCGATTAACCCAAGCCCTTGCGGCGGTGGCCAGGGAGCCGCAGGCTGCTTCTCACGAGCCGTAAACTTGCACTGCTGTGGGCAGCTTGTCCGGGAAGCAGCCACGTCCTTGCCCTGGGCCGGTGCTGGGTCCCAGAGCCACGAGTCCAGTCCGTTTCCAGGAGGTCGGGGCAGCTCTGCGGCCCTATTTTTAGAAGACCGAGAGCCAAAGCGGATGATGACAGTAATTACAGCTCCGCGTGATTGCACGGTGCCATATGGCGAGGAGGCGGCCGAGGCTCCCGGCCATGGCAGGGCCACATTCTTCGTCTCCCGGTGCAAGGAGCAAAATGTATTCACAGTGGAAATTTTAAAAACAGATGGAAATTTGGCAGATAGAGATGTTTTTAGGGCACCGGGATTAATATGTGTAATTATATCCTGTTTACTCAGCCTGTACTCGACCATTCATTCTACCTACATGGTCATTTTTTAATCAATAGCATAGGAAATAGGGAGATTTCAAATGCAGAAAATAGAATTTCTGTTTGATGCAGGGGACAAGAGAGACAGGTGGACGTCACCCTCAAATAGCAAACAGAGGCCAACATGGGGCCGTGCACGCACTAACCACGCGCTCCAGACAGCCTGCCCTCCAGGCAGGGAGCTGGGAGAGGCAGGAAAGGAGACAGCTGTGAGCTAGACCCTGACTGGGAGGAGGTGGCTGAGCAGGCTGTGGCTGTGCACAGCTGTAATCCTAGAGTTCTGGGAGGCTGAGGCAGGAGGGTCACAAGTTTGAGCTTGGCCTGGGCAATTTAGCAATTTGTGTTTGAGGCCCTGTCTCAAAATAAAAAATAAGAAAGGCCTGGCGATGTAGCTCAGTGTTCAAGGTCCCAGGTTCAATCCTGGTATAGGAAAGAAAGAAGAGACAGCAAAGCAGCAAGAAGGGAAGGAAAAATGCAAGGGGGGGCAGCTGTGCAGTTTGGGGAGCAGCATGGTGGGGGGGTGGAGGGCAGCTGCCCGTCACTGCCGCAGACCCTGCACCCCAGAGCATGGAGGGCTCAGTCCCAGTGAACCTGAGGGTGTGGCTTCCTTCATCCACACCAGGTCGGGTGAGAGCAAGGACAGCGGAAGAAAAGTGGAAATTGGAGAATGAAAGACTTTGTTTACTGGGGAGTCTCTATCCCCATCTGCCCCCCTGCGTCTCTGTCTTTGTCCCTGACACACATGCACACCATGTGCACACACGCACGCATGCACACACACCCTCCTGGAACTTTAAACACAGGCAGGAGGTTCTTCAGCTCTGAAGGACTGACTGGAACCTTGGGTGCAGCCCAGGAGTCTCTCTTACTCTGTCCTCCTGTCCTTTTCTCTTTCTCCCCCTCCGCCCTGGTCTTCCTTGGTTTTCTTCGTCTTTGCCCTCCTCCTCCTCCTCCTCCTCCCCATGCTTCTCCTCCTCCTCCTTCTACTCATCCTCCTGCTCTTACTCCCCCGCCCTCCTCCTGCTCTTCTTCTTCCTCCTCCCTTCTCCCTCCTCCTCTTCCTCTTCCTCCTCTTCCCTCCTCCTCTCTCTCCCTTCTCCTCCTCCCTCCTTCTCCTGTTTCTCTTCTTCCTCCTCCCTCCTCCTTTATCCTTCTCCTCCTGTTCCTCCTCCCTTTTCCTCCTCTTCCCTCCTCCTCCTGCTCCTCCTCCTCCTGCTCCTCCTCCTGTTCCTCCTCCCTTTTCCTCCTCTTCCCTCCTCCTGCTCCTCCTCTTCCCTTCTCCTCCTGTTCCTCCTCCCTTTTCCTCCTCTTCCCTCCTCCTGCTCCTCCTCTTCCCTTCTCCTCCTGTTCCTCCTCCCTTTTCCTCCTCTTCCCTCCTCCTGCTCCTCCTCTTCCCTTCTCCTCCTGTTCCTCCTCCCTTTTCCTCCTCTTTCCTTCTCCTTCTGCTCCTCCTCCTCCTCCATCACCCTCCTCCTTCATCACCCTCCTCCTCCCTCCTCACTCCTGCTCCTCCTCCATCCTCCTCCTCCCTTCTCCGCTCAAGGCTGGGAGCTCAGGGTCCTGTGCCCCCGGCTCATGGCCATCCTGGGAGACTTGCCCATTGGTGGGCTTGCTGTGCATGGAAGTGTGGGTGTGGCTGCCGGGACCTCCTGGAGGGCCTGCGTGCCACAGGCTGTCCTTCCACGTAAGGTGAGGCTTCTCATCTGGGGTAACTTGTGGGCTTGGCGTGCTCTGCTTCCCGGGGTGCCTGAGCTGTATCTCACTCATCTCGTGAGTGTCACAAAGATTTTAATTTAAGAAACTGCTGACTAAAATTGGGGAAGATTTTAGATTTAAAGCATAAAATTCTCTTGCTTCTCCTTTAAAAGTGGGAGACCTGGGTGGCTCAGTGGTGAGTGTTTGCCTGGCACAGCAAGGCTTGGGTTCATCTCCAGCACTGTACATGCACGTGAGCGTGCACGCACAAACACACACACACGTGGTGAAATACAAAGGGCAAACACAGGCCTTCTGCAGGGACCAGGCTGTAAGCACCACCCAGAACTGCAGGGCGGTTGGTCAGGGGCCACCGTGTCCCACCCCCAGCTGCAAAAAGAAGGAAAGTGAGAGCCTGGGATCAGGCAGGCCCCTGGTCACCCGCCTGGCTGGTGGCACCTTTGAGAACAGGCGTGGCTCTGACCCCAGCTCTGCATGTTACCCATGCCGGGTGCTGCCCTGTGACACTTCTAGAGGGACACGAGGTTCGGCTGACTCCGTGCTGTCTGGAGCACCTGCCATGGTGGGTGCAGACCTGGCTCCCACCTGCTCCTGGCCTCGCTGGTCCTGACCGCTGTGACTCCGTCAATGGGGATGGGATGGGGACAGTGTGTGAGACACAGCTGTCCCCTGTGTACCATGCAGCGTCCTTTCCCAGCCTTGCAGGCTGAGCACATGGCCCACCCAGGCACTTCCCTCTCTCCCTGTCCTGGATTTGGGGTTTTATGCAACAGCTGCACAGTTTTTCTGAGCTTGACCTTTAAAAATTAAGTTAATTTTTAGCTGATAAAACATTCATAGTGTGTCGTCCCGGCCCTCCCCCACCCCCCACCCTGTACCGAGGATGAAACTCAGGACCTTGTGCTGGTGAGTGGCACCCCTGAGTTACATCCCGGTCCTCACGCGGTGCACCCTGGGTGGGGCGACGTGTGATCAAACGTCTCAGCAGGTCCAACTTGCCTGCTTCCTGCACAGTTCGCTTGACGAGACAGTGCACACATGGCCAGGACTTCTTAGATGCATCTGTGTGTGCTAACGCCTCCCGCCGCCGTGGGCGAGAGTGTGTGCATCATAGCCGGCCTCGATCCTCTTCTCCTCCCCTTCCCCTCCCTACCAAGAGTCCTTCCTGTCTCCCCAAAGTCTGTCTGTTTCCTATCACTTATTGTATTTTGTTCTTTTAAGTTATTTATACTTTGGGTTTCTCATAGAAGAGGAACCACGCGATATGCAGTTAGGTTTTCGTGTCTGATTCAATTCACCTAACATCTCCATCCCAGGGTGCATCTGCTTTCCTTACGAATAACCCAGGTTTACCTTCTTCATGGCAGAGTTGTACTCCAGTGCGGAAGCACCACATTTCCTTCGCCCATTTGCCTGGCGTCTAGGCTGCTTCCCAGATGCGGCTCTATAAACACGGGTGCACGGCTCACTGTGACAGGATGTCTTCAGTTCTTCTCGGGCAGTACCGGGAGGGGAACAGCTACATCCAGTCCAGTTCATTTTCCGTTTTGTGAGGGATCTTCACACTGATTTTCACAGAGGTTGTGCCAGTTCACACCCTACCAGCCTCGCCCGCATTTGTTTTTTTTTTTGCTTTCCCAGCAATCGGGAGGCTGAGGCAGGAGGATCGCTGAGTTCGAGACCAGCCTGGGCTACATAGTGAGTTCTAGGTCAGTCTCAACTACATAGTGAGACCCTGTCTCAAAACAAACAAACAAAAAAAGTCATTCTCTTTTATTTAATTTGCCTCTTTTCTTCTGCACAGAAATTTTGAAAAATTAATATATTATGCTTTTTTTGTTGTTATTTCTGGAGCCAGGGCCTGGCAATGTAGTTTAAACTGGCCTCAAACTCACCAATATAGCCCAGGCTGGCCTCAGACTCCCAGTGATCCTCCCGCCTCAGCGTCCTGAGTGCTGAAATTACAGATGTGCACTGTGCCACGCCCAGCTATTACACTTAAGTATTGACTCGTCTGGAAATTTCTGTGGTGCGAGGAGTGAGACAGGGTTAATTATTTCCAAATATCAGCTGGTTCCCGTAACTGTGACTGAGTTAGATTTCCCCTCTGATGTAAAATGCCGCCTTTATCTTGAATCCCCACACCCCTTGAGCGCCCGTGACCCCTCCCCTGCAGCTCCCCAGGGCCCCTGTGCTTCTCCGTCCCTCTCCAGGTCCTCCTGGTTATTCTTGCTGTGTTGAAACAAAGTATAAGCTTCATAAACAGAGTTCCCCTCCCAGCCAGAGAATTCTCTCCTCGAAGTTACAATATTTAGGTTAATTAAAGGAGCGCTGGTATTTTTAGGATGAGTCTGCTTCTCCAGGAATAAGTTGGGCTGGGCAATTAATTATTCAGAGTGTTCTGAACAACTCAGTGTTGCTGTATTTTTGTTGTTGTTGTTGTTGTTGTCTTTGTGAAAATCATGTACAGTTCTCATTCTTTTGTTCCAGAGTTCTTTTTCTTTTTTGATTGCATTTAGACAGCAGAACCTTTTGCTGTTTCCCATCACCACTGTTGAGATACAGGGAAGCTCTAGGCTCTGTGCCTTCTTGATCAGTTCCTTTGTGTGTGGGATGGTTTTCACTGTGCTTATCTGGCAGGTGTCACTGGACCATAGTGCTCTTAGTAGCTCCTCTCCAAGGCTTCCGTTACGATCATAATGCAAGAGAATGTCAGTCCTTTCCCCTTCTCTCTGGTCCAGCAGACACCCAGTCCCTGGGCCACTGTCTCCACTCTGATAAAATCCCTGGACAACTAAGCCAGATGTGGACGGAAGACTGCTCAGGCCGCAGATCCGGGGTCACCTCCTCCAGGGAAGCAGGAATATCGGCTGTCCACGGTTGCCCAAGGGGCAGCCACCCAGGACGTTCCCAGGCCCCACTATGGAGGCCACATAGGAACAGCGAGTTCCTCTACTCTTTCAGTGTGAGAGAAGAGAGTGATCCATCCTGTGAAGGGTTATCCTTGCGGAGCAGAAGGCTCACACGGGACATTGGAAAGGAGTTGTTTTCAGGGTGCAGGACACACGGGGGCCTGACAGGGGCTGTGGGAAGCGCCACCTGCCCTATGTGTCCATGCTGCTGGCCAGTGCGAGGCGGGGGACACTGTGCTCCCTGTCTTCGTGCACTGGTGAAGGAGCCAGTGGCCTTCGTGATCATTTTTTGGGTGGAATGCGGAAGTGTTTGTAAAGTGGCTCCAACAACACCTGGCGTGACAGTGGGTGTTTGTAGCTTCTTGTCTTCCTGCTGTCCAGTGCATCAGATGATCCTTCTAAGACCACACGAGCTGTGGGCCAGTTTCCCGATGCCATGGGCCTGTTGTTGGCCTTCACAAGTTAGAAGCCACCACTTCTATCCTTTCTTCTGGTCTCCTTAAAGAACTATCCCTTGATTTCTAATTGATATATTTTTTAAACGAAGCCTGTGCATTGGATTTACCCCGGCCCTCGAGGGACCCTGGTCACTGTGATGCGTCACGCCCCATGGGCCCAGCGCAGACTTCCTCCGCCCTTCTCCCTCAGTGAGCTAAGATGTCGGTTCTTGCTCCCCAGGGTTTGCGGTCCTGGCTTCCGCTTCCCACTATTGGCCGCTGGAAGATGTGGATGGGATCCAGGAGCTTCAGGACAGGACTGAAGGTGACCTGGACACTGGGGACGGCTGTGGGTGGGGTTGGAGCCATCCTCGAGGACGAGCTGGTATTTCTCTGGAGCTGTCGAGATTGCTGTGCTCAGAGGGCCAGATTTAGGATTCAAAATGGGACTGAAATGTGCATTTCCCCAAACCTTCCCAGAGCATCTCCCAGGTAGAGCCGCACTCTTTCCTCCTGCCTGGCTTGCCACCCCACCAGGTAGGAGCTGTCCTGTAGGCCGGTTTACTCAGCAGGTCCTGAACGGCAGGGATGAAAGTGCCTCTGGGCATATGCGCTCCAGGCTGTTAGGGTGAGCCGGACCCCTTCCCCTTATTGTGATCTAATTTCCCTTTCTTGGAGTCTGATTTTCAAGCCATCACCAGGCAGTCCACTCGCATGTGGAAATGCGTTTTCCAGACAGCGCCTTGTGCGGGACTGGAGCTGATTTCAGGAACCTCACATGAGGGCGGCAAGCCACCTGCCTGTTCCTGGCTTGCTCGTCTGAGCTCGTTTTTGTTGGGTCACCCGTACCTGGTGGTGTCTTGAGTCCCTTTCCTTGTTAGAAACCTTCCTGGTGGGTAACATCATCACACTGAGCTTGCATTTTGTTTGCTGAACACATTTACCTCTGGTAAAGCTGAATATTCCAATGTGTGTCCCCTGGCCCTGGGGTGCTTTCCCCGGAACCCCAAGTCCCTGTGAGGTACCCCACTGGCAGATTCCAGCAGATCTCAGGTCCTCAAGCTGCGCTGTGCAGCTGGAGTCACCAGTGCTTCGGAGACCATGTCGTGGGTGTGGGGCTGCCATTTTGTGTGGCTGTGCTCTGCCATTGTGTCTGTCCGTCCTGCGTCTCTGTCCATCGGTCCCTGTGACATCACCACCCTTCACGCTTGTGACGTGGCCGCTTCAGAATCGGCTGAGCGCAGCTCCCTGTCTCTCCACTGAGGGGAGGCAAGGTCGACATCCAGGGACGCACAGGAGGAGGGACCCAGACACAGCCTCAGGGCGTCACAGCCACAGGGCAAGTGGGCCCAGAGATGGGGCAGCTGCGCTTGTTTTCCATCTCCCTCATCCATTGTGCTTTTGTCTCTTGTCGTTTCTTCAGCACTGCGAACTCACAACCTCACTGTGTTCCCCTCCCACACCTCCACCTTTGTGCCCACCAATGACTCTGCCTACTCCAATCTCTCTGCAACCGTAGGTGAGCATACGTCCGCTGTGTTCTGTGTTGTCCAGGCTGCCTGTGCGGTGAGTTCTAGAGCTGGGTCCCAAAGGGCTCCACTGTCTGGGCCAGAGTCAGGGCAACCTGGGCGTGGTGCTGCATGCCTGTAATCCCATCGATCTGGGAGGCTGAGACAGGACGATCCCAAGTTCAAGCCCAGCCTGGGAAACTTAGCAAGACCCTGTTTCAAATAAAAAATAAAAAAGGGGGAGGTGATATAACTCAGTGCAAAGGCCCTGGGCTTAATCCCCAGAACTGAAAAAAGTTTTAAAAGAAAGAGAAAGAAAAGAAAAAACTAGAAGGAAAGGCCAGGTGTTAAGACCCATTCAGGGTTCTGTCTAAAGGTGGTGCAGGGGCTTCTGCGCCATCCCAGGGTCTTGTGAATCAGCTGTTTGTTTCCAGAACAGAAACCACACAGCCGGCCTTTCCTAAACACAGAAATGGGATTTTTAGCTGGGCATAGTGGTGCACACCTGTGACCCCATGGCTCAGGAGGCTGAGGCAGGAAGATCACTGTGAGTTCAAGGCCAGGCTGGGATATGTAGCAAGACTCTGACTCAAAAAAAAAAAAAAAAAAAAAAAAAAAAAAAAAAAAAAAAAAAAAAAAAAAAAAAAAAAAAAAAAAAAAAAAAAAAAAAAAGAGAGCGAGAAATGGGATTTATAAAAGAATTGTGTTTTTGGGGGGAGGAAAGTATGCTCTTTGCATGGAAAATTAAAGCTGCTTTGAAACTGCTCCATGCAAATTTTGATCTCTTACAAACATGAAAATCAGCATTTCCTCTGTGGCTGGATTTTAAAAAAGCTGTTGAAGCTGTCTTACAAGACACACTCCGAACAGGTTGTGAATAAATCACTGTCTCACAGGACAAACTCCAGAGTGCCTCCCTCCTGCCTCCTCTAGGTGCTCAGAGCGCAGGGGCAGGGTGACGGTGATGTTGGTTTGCTGGGTACAGACGGACCGCTCTGAGAAGGTCTCCCCACCCTTCTCTCAGTGCACCAGCGGCTTGCGGTCCCCACAGTCGGGTCAGATCAGGGCCTCATCCTGGTGGAGCTGTGTAGCCATCTGCTGCCCATCAGGTTGGGAGCCCAGCCCTCCCCGGCATAGTATAAGGGGCTCACAGCAGGATGGATGAGGCCCAGGCACTGCCTTGGGGACAGCGGCGCTCCAAGGCCTGACATGGTCCACCCAGAGGCTGCAGCGACAGGGCCCTGTGTGCCTCCCAGCCCGGGGGCATCCCAGCAAAGGACAGGCCTGGTTACTGGATCCTTACAGCCCCTGTGGGCTGCACCCCGCCTGGCTTCTGTGGCTGGCATGAGGCAAGGGCTCTGGGGCTGGGAGCCTTGGCCCAGCAGTCAAGGCTCCTCTGGACCCCCAGATGCGAGTCTGTGTCCTCCTCCATCTGAGGCTTCTGAGAGGGATCAGCTTGTGGGGGTGACTGCAGGTTGGGTTCTTGCCCGTGACAGGAGAGTCCCAGGGGGTGGTTCAGAGCGGGGCCTGCGAGGCGAGGCAGGCACAGGAGCGGCTCTGCTCAGATCCCCTAGTGCCAGCGTCACCACAGAGGAACGCCACACCACGGAACACCAGCAGGACACGGTAGTAACATTTCCCAGCACTGGAACTTAAAGTCACCTGTCATTCAGTTATCAGCCAGGAAGTGCTGACCCTGCCTTGCCACGTGACCTCATGTGTGCCAGGCCCTCGCACAGAGTTCTCTGTGAGTCTGATGGTCCTGGGCCCGGCCTCACGGTGCTGTCCTGTCTCCCCAGACCTCATGGAGGCAAAGGTCAACAAGAGCATTTACCTCAGGGAGGAGAAGGGGGTGACCCTGCTCTTCTACAACAGCACCTCCTGCATCAGCAGCCCCGAGCGGTGCAGCGTGGAGGGTGAGTGGTGGCGAAGGCCGGGTCTCAAGGGAGGTGTGGGAGGTGGCCCCTGCTGGGCCGGCAGCAGCGGGGCACCGAGTGCTCACCAATCACAGAAGGATGGAAGCGTCACATTGGAGCGGGGCAGGGGTCTCAGTGCTGGGCTCTGACCCGACGCCGTCCTGCAGCCCGCACACCGCCTCGTGCTGCAGCCATGTAGTCCGCCTGCTTCATCTTTAACGGAGGGGAAAACAACGCGGCAATGTCACTCGGGACCCGACCGGGTGCTGGCCTCTGTTGGCAGGAAGAGATCTGGGGCAGGTGAATGCACTGCCGCTGACCACGCTGCCTTCGGGCCTGCAGGTTCCTCCTCCCAGAATGAGACAGTGCCTATTACGGAGGGAGAGAAGCTTCCTGCGGCCCGTGGGAGGTTCTGGGCACCCATGGGCTCTTGAGATGGGTCAGTCATGCAGATTCTGGGGAGACAGGTTCCGCTCTGTAAGAGACAGATGAGGCAGCAGCAGGAGGCTCTGCTTGGACTCGGGGACCCAGGTGGTGGGGACCGGGTCTGATGTCGGAGCCCGGTGGGTGGTGGGTGGCACACTGTGCAGTATGGGAGCATCTGGGAGTTCCCGCGTCCAGGCCCCAGAAGCTGGGCACAGGGCAGCAGCAGGAGGCCCAGTGGTTCTGTCCTGCCTTGGCCTGGGTCCATCCCAGTGGCCAGCTGAGGGGAACCCCACAGGTCCCAGATGCTGAGGCAGGCAGCAGGGCAAACGACAACTGCTGCCATGGCCGAGGGCTGAGAGAGTTTCAAAGTTTGCAGTGCCCCGAGTCGCTCTGTGTCCGGCGCAGTCCGCCACACGCTTCCATCTTGGTGGCCTGCAGCCAGACCCCTACCCTGCCAGTAGGTGTGGCCTGGGCCTGGGTTCTGGTCTTCACTGCAGCCACCGGGCAGCCCTGCAGCAGTGGAGATTCTGATGTGTAAACAAGCCAGCAGAGCAGCTTCCTTACGGGTGTGTGAAGACTGGAGGCCCAGGTGTCCCTGGCTCATGAGCAGTGCTCAGCTAGAGGCCCTTTGGGCGTCTGCCTCGAGCCCGTGGCTCCAGAGTTCTGGTCTCATCACTGTTCTTCCTGAGGACTCTGGTGCCTGCTTGGGGGCAGCCCTGTCCGACTGTCCATGGATCCTCTTACTGTGTGAGCTCTACCCATCCCCACAGAGGTGGGGATGCTACAGGATGGGTGGCAGGAAGCGCTGTGTGCTCAGCCTGGGCTCCTGCTTGCTAGCAGTCACTTGCTGATGGCCTGGCGGAAGCTCTGGTGGCCTCTGGATGTGTGCCCTGCTGCTTTATCTCCTGGCCAGATGGAGCTGGGACCCAGAAGCTATAAACCAGCCCCAGTGTGGGGCAGTGATTGCAGCCCGTGGGTGACCCAGGGTGACCACAGAGCCAGGGCTGCAAGTGGTGCCCTCTCATATCTAGACTTGTGGGGTGTGGGGCATGAGGGCACGTGGGCTCGCCGTGACCTCAGCTGGGGACTTTCCCGGGCCTCAGTCAGCTCCACTCCGGAGGCCCAGAGAACAAAGCTGCCCAGTGCTTGTGCAGCTGGTGTGCAGAGGCAGGATGGGGTGTCCGGGGACGCACAGAGCAGTGAAAACCAACTCAGGGCTTGTTCTGTGTCAGTGCAGGCTAGCTTCTCTGAGGCATTTCCACAGAGCCTATTTGGGATGAGGAGACCAGGAAGTAGAGCTTTGAAAACGTTGATTTCGCAGAAGTGATTCCTAGCAGTGGTGTTCAGGTGTGAGGGTGGAGAGTGACTGAGGCTCCAGGTTTCGGGACCTGTTGGGCCACACTGTTTGCTGGGGACCCAGACAGGCCGTCCGTCGTCTTACCGGAAGCTGGGTTTAGATGGGGACCCTCGCCCTATGGCCCACTCTCTGCTATCTGCTTTCAGAGCTTCGTGGCCTCTGCCTTCCATAGATTTTCTTTAAAGAACAATGTGGAGCTGGGGCTGAGGCGGTTCCCCACCCTGGGGAACCCAACTGCCCTGTCTTCAGAGCCCCCCCACTCCCCTGAGCCCCGTCTCCTTTGTGCTGTCCCCCCGAGCCCTGAGGTGAAGGCGCATAGACCCCTGGGAGCCTTTTCCTGGTCCCTGGCTGCTGTCCAGGGAGCTTTTGGGGATCTGCAGAGCAGAAGGCATTTGTATATGGCTGTTCTGACTCCAGACCTCATGAGGCATCTGTGTCCCGTGAGGGCCAGAGAGCTGGAGTGGAACAAGAAGGCAGCAGAGCCTTGTGCTGCAGGGCCGAGCTGGGCCACCTCTCCGCCCTGGGGGCACTGTGGGCTGTGCCTCATGTCCTCTCTTGGTCTCCGTGAGGGTGGCGCCTGTCTTGGCCCTCCAGTTTCCAGTGCCTGAGTGGTGCCGCAGCACATGGGAGGCTCACCATGCACTCACAAGACATGGCGGGCAGGTTGCAGCCGAGTTCTCACCACATAACAGGAAGTGCAGGGAAAGGAAATGGCACAGAAGTCTGAAAAGCATCATTGCCCCAGGCCCAAACTGCTAGAATTCCTTTCTTGCTTAGTTTCATCTCCACGTCTGATTTTATCAGTGCATTAATTAAGATGAAGCTCTTATTTGTTTGTTTTGGGGTAAGGGAATCGAACTCGGGACCTTGTGCTTGCAAGGCAGGCAGCAGCACCACTGAGCTAGATCCCCAGCCCAAGATGAAGCTCTTTGACAAAACAAATAGAAAAGACCCAGGCAATGGCTTGAAAGGAGGAGGAGAGAGAAGAAAGACAAGCTGTCTGTTTCTGGGCTCCGAAGCTGGACTCACTTCCATCTAGGGGGATCCGGGGTCCCTGCTTCCCACTCGGCCATGTTCCCGTCCTCAGGAGTTTCCCGCGCTCCTCCCAGGGCTCTTAGAATTTGCTGCTTTGTGAACACCCTGGCTGGCTGGACTCCCTCACTGCTGCTGTCCCCTCGCACAGCATGGCCTCTGCCACGTCCCTGTGCCTCGATCGCCAAGGTCCTGGAGCTGTCAGGGTGCCAAGCCCTGCGGGGACGAGGTGAGCACGGAAGCTCTGTGGTGTCGGGGCCTCGTGTGCAGCTCGCATCCAGGACACTCCCAGAGGGAAACTGAGCCAGAGAGGAGCAGACTGTGCCACAGAACTGTTCTCTGCGTACCATTCCCTGGAAGTCTCACCGCTCAGACCTAGCCGAGGAGGAAGCTGCCATCCCACAAATGGAAACTGGCAACAGCTGCCAGGGACATGGCACTGCCACATCACACCGCTGTGTGGGCCACATCGCTGATGTCAGAACGAGACCGGCAAGTTTTTATGAACAAGCCTCTCCATATGGCTCAGAACTGAGCGTGACCGAAGAGGGACCAGCTCCCCGGGCCGTGCAGTGTCACTCAGAGCCACACCTGCCATTGAGGCTGTCGAGGGAAAGCGCTGGAACCACCCTAACCTTGTCAGCTGGCAGCTGTCGCGGGTGATGTGCTGTGCTGGCAGCGGAGGTGGGGCTCCGAGTTAGGGTCTCACAGGCCAGGGCTGTGGCTGCATTTTAATCTTATTCCCCAGCCCTTACCTCATGCTGCATTGAACTTCCTTGTTGCTGTTTTCCTTCTTGGACAGACGACACTTGGCCAGGACAGATCATTTGAATTGAGTGAAAGGACTTCTCACATGCAGTAAGGCCTTTGGGGAAAACCCCTGGTGTCCCTAGTCCTGCTGGGAATATGTTTCATGACAGAGTCCCACTGTGTGCTGTGCTCACTGCCCTGTGACACTGCTTGTCTGAGGACGGCAGGGCTGACAGAGCCAGAGGAGGCAGCCCGGGCTGCGAGTTCTCACCTCCTGCAGCCGCGCAGGGGTCAGTGCGGGGCACCGGCTGGCCTGGATACCCCACTTGCCATGTTATGGTGACAACGAATCCCTGTGGGATGACAGGGCCCGGGAACCCTGCTTTGACTTGGATTCTACACTGGAGCCTCCCAGAGCCTTGGGAGTTTTATTAAACAGACCCTTCACGCGTAGCTGGGCATCGCAATCCTCTGTACTCAAGGGCTCGTGTGCCTGCCTGTTCAGTGTGTGCAAATCTCTCGCTCTGCATGCTTATCTTTCATTCTGTTAGGGATATGCAGAAATCTCAAGGTTCCTTTTATGCAAAAAAAATAAAACAGAGAAAGTCCAAGCCAGGGTTAAAAGAATGGCTGACTCCCACGTTTCCATTGGGCTGGGACCCCACAAGGGCCACTACAGCACCATCGCCACAAGCGCTGGGGACTCGGCTCACAGGGCACTGAGAGCACAGTTGCTGACCACGGCCACTTTACACGTGATAGCAGTGCTGCTGGGGGCTCAGCGCTCTCTAAGGCTGTGTCCACGACCTCACCGAGGACGGGGCCTTTACACAGATAAGGCCCAGAGCTAAGGCCTGTCCCCCGCCTGTTTGTTCAACCCTGGGCAGAGGTCTCGACCGCAGGACGCTCTCGTGACTGCCCATGGGGTGGGCAGGGCTGGGCAAGCCCAGAGCACACACGCAAGCACAGTCATTCACATGCACACTCACATGTACTTACACACAAGGAGAAGACTGGCACACACAGGGAACCGGGGCAGAGAAGCAGCGCAGAGGCAGCCAGAGCCCCTGTTATGAGGCCCGGGAGGCCTCCAGGGTCTGAGCCAGGTTGGCCCTGGGCGCCGGTGGGGTTCCCAGACTGCACATGGGAAGCACTTCCTGGCAGGCCAAGCCGATCTCCTGCTCCATTTGCGTCCAGGCATGGCACAGGGGATGTCAGCTGTGACCCAACTGTGGACACCAGTGACTGTAGCAGGGACCTCACCCCATCTGTCCCCTGGGTCTGGACCTGCTGAGCGCCCGTCTTTGAAAGTCCTTAGAGCTGTGCCGCCAGTGTCCCCACGGGCCACAGTGAGCGTCACTTGGATACGTGTGGCCACGGAGATCAGAAACCTCAAAGTGTGCTTCCTGTTTGACAGGAACTCCCCACAGAGACTGGATTCAGAGCCTCCGATTTGAGGCAGAAGCCTTTAGCCTCAGGTTCTCTTTGGAAGATTCCTTCAAAATTGCTGCAAACCTTAAGACTCAACATGAAGGTGTTGTTTCATAAACCCCGTGGGTACTGTTTAGGACATAATGCTGTGTGGGCATAAAAGTGACAATCTAGCAGTGTGTTTACAGACATGGGAGGAAGTCCACAGGCAGCCAGAGTTTTGAAGCTGTTTATAAGCCGATTTGCACAGGAGGGTCCCTTTCTTTGTAAGATGTATTTATAGACAAGGTTTGGAGACGCTGCTCTGGGCCATGTCAGGTGCCCAGGGCTGACTTGGGTGTCTGTGCATACAAACCTGGCCCCAGGTGCCCGGGTCTGTCCCTGTTCCTGGCTGCGGGTCGAGGCCTCTGAGTCCCATCTGTGGGGCAGGACAGTAACAGGGCTGCGTGCTACAGGTGGAGGTAGCTCCCTGCGGCTCCTGGAAAGGGCTGGGCCCGAGATGTCCCCCATCCCGAGTGTTCCATCTGCACACCCTGCCCTTTCTCACTGCAGGGGTCACCTTTTCCTTCTTCTGGAAGACCCAAGGCGAGCATGCCCGGCCAGCCCCTTCTGCATACGGGGGACAGGTACTATCCGATGGCTTCAAGGTCTGCTCCAGCGGCAGCCGGGGCTCTGTGCAGCTGTACACGCGTGGAGACTTCACGACCTGGGAAGCTGCCTTCAGCCCACTAGGTAAGTGACACCCAACCCGCAATCCTGCTGTCTCACTGCAATGATCCCTCGGGGCCCTGGGCAGGATCCTGATGGGCAGGGTATGCCTGACGCACGGCTCTATGCCACCCAGGTCACAGGCAGCGGAGGTGACCTTGACAGTGTCGCCTCCTGGGTGGGCACGAGCTTCTCCCTCTCCTCCCTTCACCTGTTCCTCTTCCTCCTCCTGTGGTGTAGACAGAAGCTTCTCAGCACAGGGTAAGAGGGGCTGCGGTTCAGGGGAAGGCGGCCTGGCGGGGATGGGATGCAGGGCCCTGTGGGAAGGCTGGGGCGCAGACAGCTGAGCCTGGGGATGGCGGACAGACTGCACAACCAGATGCTCGCTGGTGGTGCCATCTTCTCCATGGCATGGTGCCCATCTGCTGCCTGGGGCTGGAGGTGTGGAACAGAAGCTGGAGGGCCCAGGCAGGGCTGAAGTAGACCCTGGAGATGGGGAGAGGCACAGCCCAGGCAGTGACCAGGAGACTGGGCAGGATGGAGGCCAGAGGGAGGCCAGGAATGGGTCTTGGGGACACTCTGGGGCATTTCTTCCTGGCCCACCCACAGGGACTGCATGGTTCACTCCTTAGAAAGCCTGGAATCAGGAGCTAGCTGGCCTGGGCCACCCTGCTTGGGGCCTCTCTGCCCTGTGAATCTGGTACCGCATCTCTGTCTCCGTGTCTGTTGTACGAGGGTAATAACAGTGCCCGCTCACAGGGAGCCAGAATGGTGGTAGCAGGCCCAAGGAGGCAGAGGCCACGTGTCTGGCTTGCTCAGTGGGCTCGTTGCTTCTGGGTGGGCGAGCACCTCCATCCATAAGGCGGGAAACGCAGCAGCAGCAGTGTGTACTTTGAATCTGTCCTCTCGGATTCCTGAGACCAGAAATCACGTGGCCTCTCCATCCTGTGCAGCACTCCCTCTACTTCCCAGGCTCTGCATGCCGTCCCCTTCTCCTCCAGGCAGCCCCTCCTTTGTGGGCCTTGGCTAGTGTGACAGACACAGGGCCAGAGACTGGCAGGCTACCCAGACTTGAACTTGGGTTAAGACCCCTTGACTGGGAGATTTGGAAACATCGCTACAGAGCAACATGCTCTTCATGCACATGTCAAAGGATTTATTTTTTGTACAAACTTCAGAGCAATCATACTTTGGACCTGTTTAGGACCCATGTGTTCTCCAGAGACTCAACGTTATTAGAAAGTCGCACAATCCTGAGCCAGGAGCCCTGACTTAATCGCTGGAGGCCCGTGGCGCCCATTGCCTGGGGGGAGGTGTGTCCTTTGGGAGGGCGGCCCTGTCCCTTCCACATCTGAACACAGACACTTGCACAGCACAGGGGATGTGAGGGACAAGCGGCCCTCAAAGACTCCTTGTGGTGAACACAGAGGCTCCCTGTCAGAGCACCCAGGAGTCGGGGAGTTGGTCTTGGGCAGACGTCTGTCCTGCCGGCTCCATCAGAGCTGAGGCTGGTATCAGGGCCATGGGCTGATTCAGGCCTGTGGATGGATTCACAGTCTTACATCAGCCTCCCCAGGCCAGCATCTTCCCTGAAGAGCCTCCTGCCATAACTGATGAACCAACTTCGACATCCTTGTCCCCCAAGGCCCATGGTTCACATTCTGGGAATTGTGTGTTCTGTGTGGCAGCTCCATCAGTTCAGACCTCTCATCCATGTTTTCTTCAGTGTGTTGTTGAGTTCTAAGAGTTCTCTGTGTCTTTCAGGCAACAGTGTCTATGATCTTGTCTTTCACAAACCTTTTCTCCCATCCATGGCTGGCTCTCTTGTTCTCCTGACAGTATCTGTCCCGGAGCAGAGGTTCTTGGCTTTAATGAAGCCCAGCCTATCAGTTATTTCTTCCCTGGATGGTGCCTTTTGTGCAGAATCTAAAAGGTTGTCACTGCCTGGGCCTGGTGGTACGTGCCTGTGACCTTACCACTTGGGAGGTGGAGGCCGAAGGATGGCTGCAGGTTTGAGGCCAGCCTGGGCTACATAGTGAGTTCATGGTCAGCCTGACCTACATGGAGAGACCCTGTCTCAAACAACAACAACAATAAAGGTCACTACCAAAGTCCAGGTCATCTAAATTTTCTGCTGTTACTTTTCAGAGCTTTATAGTTTTGCATTTTATATTTAGGTTTATCATCCATTTTAGCTTGATTTTTGTGATGGGTATGAAGTTTATGTCTAGATTTATTTCTTTTTTATTTTTGTATTTGAATATCCAGTTGTTCTTGTACCATTGGTTGAAAAGACTGTCGTGGTTCTCTTGAATTGCATTTCTCCTTTGCTAATGACTGAGTAGCCTGTGGTCTTTGTTACTTTCTCATGGCTGGGACAAAATATCCAACTCCCACAACTTAAAAGAGAAAAGGTTTATTTGTCTCACAGTGTGTAGAGGTTTCAGTCCATAGTTGGCTGGCTCCAAGGCAGGGCAGTGTGGCAGAGGGGCTGGCAGAGGAGAAACAGTCCAAGGCATGGTTGCAGGAAGCAGAGAGGGATCAAGGGAGGAGGAGGGAGACAGACCTTTCCAGGCCACACCCGCAGTGAGCCATCTCCTCCACCAGGCTCCACCTCCCAGCATCATACCCAGCTACAAACCCATCAGGGGACTAATCCAGGATCACATACTCAAGATCCTGTCACTCCCCAAAGCCCCACCTAAGAGTGTATGAGGCTTTGGAGATACATCCAGATATAAACCACAACACCTGCATTTGTGCTGGTCTCTCTCTGACTGTCTTTTCTGGTCTACTGGTCTGCCTGTCTGCCTAATCCTGTCACCCCATTCCACACTCCTTCAATAACTGATCACTGTAACTGTTGAATTAAAGTCTTGAAGGTAGGTAGTGTCAGCCCTCCAACTCTGTTTTACTCCTTTATTGTTTTGTGGATTTTCTTGGTATTTGCCTCTCCATATAAACTTTAGAATCAGTTTGTTGCTACCCATGAAATAACTACTGAGATCTTGATCAGAATTGCATTGCACTTACAGATCAATTTGGAAAGAACTGGCATCTTGACAGTACTGGGTCCACCTATCCATGAACATGGAACATCATTCTATTTGTTTATTTTTTGTTTACTTCTTTCATTAGAATTTTTCCTCAGTTCTCATACATGTTAGACTTTACCTAAATACCAAAGTACTTCATATTCTTTTTTCTCTTTTATATCAGTAATGTAAGTGATGATGGGGGTTCTTTAAATTTAATTCAAATTCTACTCATTCATTGCTGTAAGATGGTAAGGCAAACTGACTTTTGCACGTTAACCTTGTACCCTTCAATCCTGGAATGACCACTTATTGATGCTTGTGTCTTGCCTTTTAAAAAATATTTGATCACTTTGGCTTATAGACATTTACATTTGAAAATGTAAATTTACACTATGTTGAAATAATAGAGTCTCCTTACACTGCCTATTGTAATTTGGAGGATGGAGGCAGAAGAGCAGTTTCTTTCCTGTGCACTATGTGATTGAAGAAGGTCATTTCTCCATTGTGACCAAGGTTAAATTGGTGGTCAGGGTAAGACGGATGTGCTTGGTGGCAGGAAGGACTCATGCCTGGAGAGCTCATCCCACAGTGCCCAAAGCTGCCATCTTCCTCTCTTCCAGGTCCCTACTGGACTCACATCCTGTTCACGTGGAAATCCAAGGAGGGCCTGAAAGTCTATGTCAATGGGACCCTGAGCACCTCTGACCCCCGTGGGAAAGTGTCGCACGACTATGGGGAGCCCAACGCCAACCTCGTGATAGGGTCAGAGCAGGACCAGACCAAGTGCTACGAGGATGGCGCCTTCGATGAGTTCATCTTCTGGGAGCGGGCACTGACTCCAGCGGAGATCCGCATGTACTTCTCAGCTGCTGTGGGTCAGTGTGTGCAGCCAGGGTCTGTCCCAGCACTGTGTCCGCCTCAGCGTGACCAGTGTGAGCTTTGTCCTAACATACCTTATAGCACAATCGTGTTTTGTAGCATTCATTCCTAGAGAGAGGAGCTCATGGTCTTCATTTTTTGGTGGTAAAGGGGGTTGAATTCAGCTTTTGCACTGGGCTACATCAATAGCCTTATTTTAATTTTAATTTTTTTGAAACAGGGTCTCACTGTGTAGCCCAGGCTGGCCTTGAACTCATAGTGATCCTTCTGCCTCAGCCTCCCAGGCACTGGGGGTACAGGCGGGTGTACTCCGCTACACCCAGGTTTATTTTAAAATTTTGAGACAGGATCTCGCTAAGCCACTAAGGTGCCTAACCTAGGCCCAAACCTGGGCTCCTGCTGCCTCAGCCTCCCAGAGTGCTGGGATTCCTGGTGGCATTAACCATTTACCAGCCTCCCTGCGGTCACTCCGGGCTTTGAGGTGTCCATAGTGGAGGCCCACGGCAGGCCTGGGATGCAATATTCTGGTCCATCAGTGATTTAATCCCAAATGCCACCTGGGCTGCTCCAAGCCAAGATGTCCTCTCTGCCAGCACAGAGGAGCTGTTAGGTCGGGCAGGGGCCTTGGCACAGTGGATCAGGGTTCGAATATTCACTCTACCACGGGCCTTGGGGCAGTGGGAAGTCACTTTTGAGAAACCAAGGAAGATTTCCTGTGTTACCAATTTAACCATTTAAAGGTGAACACTCAGGGCTTTTAGTAAACTCCACCGCCACTGCCTTCTCTACCTCCTTCTGAGTCCTTCTACCTGCCACAGCCCCATACAGTCCCACATACCTGCACATGGCCCATGCACCTCACACACACCTGCACACCCCCCACAGCCTGCACACAGCCCACACACACCCATGCACACCCCATACACACTCGTGCACACCCCACAGCTCACACACTGGCACATACCCCTCAGCCCGCACACACCCATGCACACACCTGCACACGCCCATGCACCCCCCCACACACACACTCATGCACACCTACACAGCTCACACACCGGCACACACCCCACAGCCCGCACACACCCGTGCACACACCTGCACACACCCATGCATACGCCACTTACACCCACACATACCCATGCACACCCACACACATCCCACACAACTCGCACACACTTGCACGTCCCCCACAGCCCACACACACCCACACACCCCACACAGCTCACACTCCACACACACCTTGCACACGCCCTGCACATGTCCTCCACAGCCCTGCTGCCCACCAGAGACTTCTGCCCCCAGTGGGCAGTGCAGGAATAGAATCATGTGACAGCTGCATCCCCATAAATGGAGAGGACGCCCCCTCATGATGCGTGACAGGCATGACAGGCCTTGCACACGCCTGGCGTGGTGTTCTCAGGGAGGTGTGGCTGTCTTTAACTCCAGTCCCCTTCCCCTCCACCTCGGTCCTGCTCACAGCAAGTGTGCCGCTTCTCTGCCTGGCACAGGGTGCTGAGTCAGGAAGCCCAGTCATGCAGTGGGAGGCTCTGGCCCTCAGGCCCTCTTTCAGCTGTTGGCACCCAGGGGTGTGGGGGAGGAAGCCAACCCAGAGCCACCTCAGCAAAGAAGGGCCTTGTGTCACACTCAGAAGGTCCCGGCACAGTCATTGACTTGGGAAGACACAGGCGAGCGTGAGCCCAGCCCTGCTGTGGAGGCGACAGGACCCACTCTGCACACACAGACTGCACATGTGGCTGTGGTGGGCTGCAGGAGCCCGGAGAGTTTCTTCTCCATTGGCCCATCTGGAGGGGATGCTGTCTTCTTCCCATTCGCGGCGCAGCTCTGCCTTCTGGTTCCCCATCCCTGTGGTGTGGTCCTCTCTGATCCTATAGGGCAGACTGCTGCCCTCTGCTGCCCCCCAGGCCCCCACCCTGCCACTGGAATGGGCAGAAAGGGACACTGCATGCCAGGGCCTTACGGGGTGAGGGCCGGGGCTGTCTCACCAGTGTCTGTGGTCACCGCCATGTGGCTCCCGGTGGCTGTTCCTGTCGCAGTCTTGCTTGCGTGAAAGTGGGTGTGATGCAGCGGCTCTGGCTCCCGACCCCCATGGGTGGACTGTGCTGCGGTTGGAGTTTGGGGTCCAGCTCCCCCACCCATGTGACATCTGTGCCCACCGGCTGCCCAGCCCCACCCATGGCAAGGGACAGCAGGGCTGCCGGGGCCAGGTCCTCAGGCCACCCACGCTGGAGGCAGGACTGCGGGGTCGGAGCAGAGGGCGCAGATGCACCCTTCCTGCTCTGGAAGCTTCCCATGGGCAGCAGCCCAGCACAGCCTCAGGCGCCTGGCCGTCCTCTCCCTGCCGCTGCTCTGGTCATCTTGCATCCGCTCTTCTGGAGGAGGGGTTCTGGGGCTATACTCTATCCTTGTCCAGAGAGCAAAAATTCTGCATTTTCCCTTCTTACTAGTCTGGGTGCAACAGAAGCCTATTTTTCATTCTTTATTTTAAATCGGTGACACCTTGCATAAAAATCTTCTTTTTATTTGATGCCTCACATGAATGGTGTTCAAAAGCAATTCAGAATATAAATGGAAAAATAATTTGAGCTGGAAAAATCTATATAATCTACCTATTAAGCTGATTTATTAGCCTGTTATCTTTCCAGCAGCATTTCTACTCAAAACATTCCCAGCCTCTGTCAGATGTGTCTCAAGCTGGTGCATTGTTGAATAAAGACAGACCTTACTCACACAGGGTGATGAGGTTTTGGTCCTTACTTAAGCAGTGTTTATCTTTCCAGGAAAGCATGGTTTGCTGTCTTCCACCCTGCCCAGCTTCGTGACCCTGATGGCCAGCACTGCGGTGAGTTTTTCTGCCCTCTGCCCCTTACCGGTGTTTCTGCTTGGATTGTGAGCCAGGAGGGCTGGGTTTCATTAAGAACCTGGGACTCCACTCTTGATACTGTAAGGCCTGGAGAGAAGTAATAAGGAGAAGGGAAGGTGACTTTGGGCCATGCTTGGTGCCATGTGAGGGATGGCAGAGAGCCCGTGCTTCCTGCCGCAGTGAGCTCAGTGCCTGGAGGGAAGAAAGGAGATTCTTAAGCACAAATGACAGCCAGGATGGTTTCCTGGGGCAGCTAGAGCCTGCCTGGCTTGGCCTCCTGTTGTGCCTTTTCTTTTGATATCCAAAGAAAGGATCAGTTTGTGCAGAAAGCATCACCCTCTCCAATTAGCATTTGTAAAAGAACTGTCCTTGTTGAGAACTCAACAGACAGTGCAGGGGGTCTAAGGGGTCCCCTTGGATTCAAATGCCAGCTGCACCGCTCCCTCTGTGTATGGCTTTCCATGTCCAGTGTCCCCTATCATGGCTCTTTTTTCCTCACATGCAGACAGGATGGTGACACAGACAAGGTGTTCATGAAGGAGCTGATGAGGAGGTGTCATTGTCATAGTGGCTGGAAGGCCTTGGACCTCTGCAGGGCATACAGAGTCTCAGAGAACCTCTGACTTTGGAACTCATGCTGCTGCTGTCTTTCAGGTGCCCACAAATGCCTACCTTCCCATCATAACCAACCTGACAGAGGAGAGATGGAGCATCCCACCAGCCAGAACTGCACTGAGCTACCTTCAAAATGTGTCCCTCAGCTTACCCAACAAGCCTCTCTCAGAGGAAACAGCGCTGAATCTCACAGAGGTAAAGTTCTTTGGCTCCTGTGTCCAATGGGCCAGGGCCAGCGCATGGCTACTCCACAGCCTGGCATCAAAAGGCTAGGAGCCAGCACATGAAAGTCAGGCTGCAGACTCCTCAGAAGCTGACCAGAGCTGACCACACTATGCAGCTCAGTGGACTCGTGTCTTCGATTTTCTTAATGCCCAGCCTGCCCAGTGCATCCAAGCACCCACTGCTCCCCTGAGGTGTTTGGGTTCACAGATTTTCGTCTGCTGAGCCAAGAGAATGGTAGGGTCGGGTCCTTCACAGGCAGTGCCAGGCCCAGGCCCCAGTCTGCACACAGAGGGAGTCTCAGAGCGGTGCCAAGTGTTCAGCGAATGCATGTTTGTGGCACTCAAACCAAGATGCCTTCTTTTTACTTCTGGTGGGTGTGGGGTCTGGCAGAGCCAGGGCCCCTGCCTGGTGTGGGAGAGAAGGGGCGTGTGACTGGGCTCCGTCACAGCACGCAGGAGGTCATGGAGGTGTGCTCATGGGGCAGTGTCTAGTGTGCTGAGCACTTCTCAAGGGTTCTTAATTCTCCCTGGTTTCCCAGTTGCCAACACCCAGGGAATTGCAGACAAACCCATGCTCACTGAAGGGAACATTGTGCAGTGAGGAGGCTCTTGCTAGCTGTCCTGTTAGGGTGAGATGGCTCAGACTCCATTCACTCACAAAGTGCATCCATACCAATCAGGGCTGTGGGTAGAGAGAGACGCAGGTTCTAAGAGCACTAGGGTGGAACCAACATGGGCCAGGGAGGTCAGGCAGCTGGGCCCTCAGCTGGTGCTTGAGGCCATGGTGAGGAGACACATGCCCAGAGTGGGGCTTCCGTGAGAGGCAGGCGGTTGGGTAGCCTCCTCTGTGTGATGCTGTGCTCCAGGGACAGCTTGTAGGTCCCTCTTAGCACTGAAGGTATCATCTTATGTGACCTGGGTGGCACCCAGCTTCTCACCCATGGCTTTGAAGAGGGTGAGGCCAGTAGCTCCTATTTATAGGACACAATACTTCCCATAATGCTGTGCAGCAGCCTCACACATTTAATTGGTCAAAGCCAGGTCACATGACCTCTTGTCACTTAATCACTGATGAGAGATTGAAATTGGTGTGATGGCTCAGCCAATCTGAAGGACCTCTTGGTGGGGCAAGGCTGCCTCTAGGGGAGCACTTCCAGCTTCCACAGGAAGGGCAGGCTTGGGTTCACTGAATTTGGATAACCTCATAAGTCGTTTTGTGTGTAAGTGGAGGATCCTGAGTAACTAACTCACTGGGACAGGGCTTGGTATGCAGTGGGTGCTTCTCTAGTATTAACCCAAATTTGGTTCTCTGGAGCTAGGCTACATGGAATCACTGCAACAGGTGGTGCCTTGTCTACAATTGGTACCTAATAAGCACCTGATCTTGGTACCAGCACCCTTTCCTCTAAGCAGCAAGGTATGCAGACACGGCACAGTAAGTGTCCACTTTGTACTAGCATTCTGCACACTAGACAGAAGTGTATGCAGTTGGTGCATAATAGCCACCCACTCTGGTATTAGCGCCCTGTCCTAAGCAGAGTGGTTACCACGAAAAGTGCTCAGAGGTGTGCAGTAGGTGCTGAGTTGGTCCTGTATTTCCAGCTGTCTAGGGAAGGAGGCAGCTCAAGTGAGGGTGTGAGTGCTTATTTGTGGCTTTGCTTGCTAATCTTGGACTTGCGAGTGGGCAAATTCACTACAAAGTGGTGGCTAAATTTACTGGCAGCTCCCGTGGTATCTGACTTGGTAATTGACTCTGTGCAGCCCTGCCCTGTGCCAGCTGGTGGCTGGGATCCATGTTCTGTGAGCCTGGCTGTGCCTGGTCCTCATGGGGCTCCTAGGCTGGCCTGGGCTTCCTCTATGAGGCTATTGTGGGGGTCGGCTTGGCCCTGTGCACTGTTGGTTGCTAACAGAGGGCCTGTGGTGCTGGGGAGCCTTGTGACACACAGGTACAAACTCAGGCTTCCTTGAGCTGCTTCTTGCAGAGCCCTATGAAGAGCTGTGTGTGGCTGGCTGCAGACACAGTGACCCGGGGGCAGCAGAGCAAGTGGAGACCAGGGCCAGGCCGATAGGTGATTGCTCTGGATAGGGCAGGGCAGCTGCTCTGCTGAGCCTGTGTGGGGCTGAAGTGGCTGGCGTGGCTCAGAGCCTTTAGAGCTGAGTCTGTTGGAGTCCAGAAGCCAGTGCAGGTCTGTGCAGGAAGCACTTCCTTTCTGCACACAGCGATTTCCTCTGCCTGGTGCTCCCTTTCCAGTCTCCACTTGCCCTCTCAGAGCTAGAGATTGCAAACTCAGAGCATTCAGGGCCCAAAGAAATAAGGGTGGGGGCTCCAGAGGCCATCCACTCACCTCTGCCACAGAAGGGCACAACCAGCCAGGACAGTGTGTAAGGGATGAGTGCGTGTCAGTAAAAGTTTGTGTATACAGATGGACGGTGGGCCCGATTCAGCCAGGAGGCCGTAACTTGCTGACTCCTGATCTAGAGCAGCTCTGTCCACAGAAATGTATGAACCACATTCGTCATTTTAAATTTTCTAGTAGCCACATTTTTTAAAAAAGAAAGCAGGTGAAGTTAATAATATGTTTTAGCTGGGCATGGTTACACACACCTGTAATCCCAGCACTCAGAGGCTGAGGCAGGAGGATCACCATGAGTTTGAGGCCAGCTTGGGATACATAGTAAGACCCTGTCTCAAAAAACAGTTTAGTTTAATATATCTAAAACAGTATCATTTTAGCATGTGATTAATTCAAAATTCCTACTTAGATATTTTATACTTTCTCGTGTGGAGTTTGGAAATCCGGGCTGAATTTGCACTCACTGCACATCTCAGCTCAGTGCTCAAGAACACAGGTGGCTGACGGTCACCTTGCTGCCCCCCGCCCCCGCAGAACATCAGCGCCCACCCCTTCCCTGTGCAGTGGTGGAGGGTGGGGAGCCAGGACCCCGTTAGGGTGCCGGGACCGTTATTTCTCCTCACACCAGTACTCGGTGGCACCTGGATGGGTCTGCACAGTTCATCTGTGGCCAGCTGGGTCAGGAACCTGGCACCCGAGGCCTCAGACTGCCACCCACGGGCTGGGCCTGTTCAGGGTGTGTGCAACTGGTCTGCACATAATGCCCGCTGTGTGGCTGGGCGTGGCCTCTTACAGAGACGCTGCTGGCTCTGCCTTGGGGGACAGGGGGGCTGGAGGTCATTTTGTCATTGGTTCCAGGGCCTCACAGCCTGGGGCCTGCACTGCATCTGTGGTACAAAGGCTAACAGCAGGGATTGGAGTTCACACGCAGACGCTGAGTGTGCCTGGGGAGGGTGAAAGTACTGTCACTTTCTTGGGCACAGTCATGAGCGAGCCAGACGTGGTTCGAAGTCCCTCAAACAAAGGTCCTGTGGCTGCTGTCACTGGGGAGACCGTTTCCCATCAGCACAGGAGCTTAGCACCATTGGCCTTTGCTCCCACTCCACAGCCTTCACTTCTTCACGGACTTCCCCTAGCCCCAGGGGTGGATTAGGGCCCTGCCACAGACACTGGCGGCCACGGTGATGGCCCACGGCTGTGGTCAGTCTCCTTCCATGATGCCTGTAAGAAGCTCCTTGGGAACTGCCGCCGCTTCTGGCTGCACCAGCGAGCGGTGGTTGTGGGGGGCTGGGAGTGGGGACCCCAAGGTCTTCCGAGGTTAACGCTATCATCTGCCCCTCAGACCTTCCTGTGGGCCGTGGGCCAGGTACTGCTGCTGCCCAGCTGGACCGTGGTGTCAGAGGTGAGCGGAGCGTTGTGACCTTCACAGCGTACGTACATGAGGACACTTGTCACACAGACATAGTGTGACATGGCCTGAGCACCCCCAAGGGGAGCTCCCCACCTCCCATCCTGATGCCAGCCAAGCATGTGGTGCGGGATCTGCCCAGAGGGTTGCCACTGTGGTATCCATCTCAGCTCAGTTAGAAGAGGCTCCCTCTTCCTGGGTGGGCCTGTGTCTCCCGTTACATAGCACAGGTTTACACCCCTCCTTCTTGAACAGCCTTCAGAGGAGTCTGATGTTGAGGTAACCTGGGCAGGTGAAACTGAGCCCCGAACGACCCAGGCTCCAAGATTACATGAATGGGAAGCTGCCTCCTGCACTCGAGAGAACTGAAAATTTTACTTGGTTTCTAGAAAGCATATTGATTTCACTGTCTTACTGAAAAGTAAGACAAATCAATAAGTAGCCAGGAATAAAAGTCACCAGAACCGGGAGCCTGGGTGGTGTTTATCAGCACAGTGCAGCCCGCAGGCTGGGTTTCCATTCCCCAGGACTGCAACAGGCTGGGACCTGGCCTCACTGGGTCCCCCATCCTGACAGGAGCTCATTGCAGTGCCCTGGTGGTCAGGAGAGCTGCTGAGCTGCAGCAGGGATACCCCACACCCACTGGCTCTGCCCTCTGTGGCCCCCACAGTGTGTGTTGGGGGATAGCTCAGCCTGGAAGGCCTGGCTGCGCCCACAGGCTCAGGAGCAGTGGGACTGTTCCTTCCTTCTCATTAACACACTTACGCTGCGGTTTCCTGTCGACAGCCTTTTTATTTGTCAAGCTTCCCATGGGTGAGGTCAGGTTTAACACTGGCCCAGAGAGAAGAAAGGGTCCGGGGCATGATACTGACTCGGTCTTAACTAGAAACAAATTTTCCTTTGAAAAGTACGTCCCTCCAGGGATTGAGATTTGGAGGGAGTTTGTGTGCAGGCCGCAGATCGGGAGTCACCAGCAGAAGCCATGGTGAATGGAGACAGAGGGGCTTTCTGCTTTTGAATGCAAAATATACAGACCTGGAGCAAATGTGAACAGTGCTGAAGCCTGGGGCCTGGTGGCTCTGGGGTGCACTGGGGTGTGTGTGAACGGGCCGCTCCCCACCAACCCTGCCTGCGAGCAGCCCTCACTGAGGGAAATGAGGCCATGGGCGAAAGAGCATGTCCGAGCCCGGCCAGGATCTGTCCCAGCTGCTTAGGTTCCCCTGGAGCCCGTGCTTATAAGAAAGCCAGGTTCCACACTGTGGTGTCCTGGATAGGTGTGAGAGAGGCAGGCAGGTGGGGCTGAGACAGCCGTCCTTGTCCTGTGGGCGGGGGGATGTGCAGCCGATGGGCATCAGAGATGTGTGTGACCCAGATCCTGGCCTGGGAGCAGCACAGTCAAAGAGGGCCTCACGCTGCATCTCCACAGCAGGACACGTTCCTGGTGCCTGGCCTCATCGACACCATCGACACTGTCATGGCCCACGTGTCTTTCAACCTGCAGGGCGGCGGGCCACAGGTCACCCTCGCGGGCTCCTCTCCTGTAGCAGGTGGCTGTGGTCGGTGGGTGGGTGGCGAGGGTGAAGGGACTCGGGTTTTCGGCCTGCTGTGGTTCCAGGTACCCCAGCTCACACCAGGAGACGAGGTGCACCTTGCTGTCTCCCTGAACCCCAAGGCCTCCAGCGGGCCTGTGTGTGGCCGGGCAGGGCCACATGCAGTTAGAATGGGGCGGGGTATCAGTCATGAGGGCCACTGCATGTTCCCCGTGATCTAGGAGGCCACTTTTCTGCCTTGGGACAGCAGGGCCCTGCTCCCCAGGGTGTTCAGGTGAACAGCAGCATCGGGCACCCCCATCCCAGGAGACAGGTGTGTGGGCTCTGTCCTGGGCAGAGCGGCCCAGCTGGCTCAGCTGCCCACAGGGGCCGTCTTGATGCCAGCGTGGCAGCCCATTGCTGCCTCCATGCCAGGGAGCACCTGCTGGCATAAGGTGTCATTTTCCTGGGTCCCCCACAGTCCCCAAGCATACAGAGGAGCAGCTGCAGACAGGGTTCATGGCACCCTGGTGGGACTGGGCGGATGCAGGGTGCAGGGTCAGTTGGCGGGCAGAGCCCAGGCCTGGGATGGGTGCAGGGGCTTGCAGAGCTGGGGTCTGGCTTCCCAGTGCGTGTGCTGTCCCAAAGGTGCTCTGCTGGGCCTGCATGGGAGGAGCGGGGTTCGCGCCTGCTGAGCTGACCTCTCCCGCTGTACCCGTAGACTTCTCCTTGGCCAAGCTCCTCCCAGGAGCCCTGAGTGCAGCTCACTACCGCTTCCCTGCCCACGGCGACAGCTACATTGAAATTCCAGGCCAGGCCCTTCACAGCCAAGGTGAGTGGTGAGGTCTGACCAGAGGCCCCAAGGGCCGTTCCCCAAGCCCAGGGGACCCTGCTGCTCCCATGAGGTGAAGTCCACACTCGGGCAAGCCTGGCTATGTGTGACATGGTGTCTCAGTGGGCACAGCCCAGGCCTCCATCCCCACTCAGGACAGCCATGCTGGGTGCGGGCTCTGTCCAGGGCCTGCCTCCTCCCTGCAAAATCCAAGCCAGGTCCTGACGCATGCGCAGGCACCACAGGGCCCCGAGGTCATGCAGCACCTTGGCACTGAGACTGGAGAAGCAAACCCACCTCTGCAGCCTTGGCCTCCTCCGGGCCTGGTGTTCCCACCTACCCAGCTAGAATCCTCTCTGCCCCCTGCTTGGCCAGGGTCCAGGGCTCCGGCCACCTTTGGCAGGGACTTGGACTGTGGCTCCAGGAAGTCACAGTCTGCCAGGCTGCCGCGGGGTGGTGCTCACCAGGCGGGCTCTGGTTCCTCCTGCTCTCTCTGGGTGTTGACAGTGTATCCCGTTCCCCCGTCCCCAGCCTGGACCACCGTCGTGGGCCTCCTCTACTACTCCGTGCACCACTACATGAGCAACATCCCCCTGGCCAGCACTGCGTGAGTTTATGGGTCTTGGGGCAGAGGGCAGGGCCCACAGGAGCCTTGGCAGCCAGTCTTAGGGAGACCCGGCCATCACATGCCACTGGGACCTCACCGCCCACCCCGTGCTCACTGCAGTGGGGGCTGCACAGCACTGGTGAGGAGCCCTGTGTGACCTTGGGCCAATGATTTAAACTCTCTGAGCCTCAGTTTCCACATCTGTAGAATGGGAAGATAGCACTGCCTGCTGTGGGCGGATCTGTTCCTTCCTCCATGCATCCATGCACTTATCCGTGCTGGGACAGTTTCTGTGTGTGGAGGAGTTGGAGGACGTGGACAGGCAGGGAGAAACCTGGGCCCTGGAGCAGCGTGCAGCTGCAAGGGGAGGATCTGCCTAGCACTGCAAGGCCCTGGGAGCCATCCCTGGGGAGGTGGCGACTGAGCAGGTGACACGGGAGGCCCCTGGGAGAGGCCAAGGGGTTGGGCTTATTCAGGGCTGCCACCTGCAGTGACCACTGCACTGTGCCAGTGTCATGGGCCTCATTCCCAAGGATGCTCCTGGCCTGTGCCGGACCTGAGGGTGTGGCGCAGCACCTGGGCTGTCTGAGCTCCACATGCCCCCCCCACTGGACGGGCTCTGTGTCCACTGCTCAAATCCCAGCAGGCGCTTGCAAAGTGCAGCCGCTGTGACGGGCCACATCCTCGAGGGCAGCGCTGTCCCCTGCTTTGAGCTCCCCAGTGTCCCATGGCCTGCGGGGCCTCAGACATAGGAGCCCCACACTGTCCCAGGACACGGGATGAGGGGTTGGGAAGTGTGGCCCTGGAGCCATGCTGCCTCTTCATTTGTAAAGTCTGTACCTTTCCCCCAGCGTGCTGGGTAGGTTTTGGGGACAGTGGAGTTCTCAGGCAGGACAGTCAGGTGACCCAATAACTGTCGTTCACAGGCCTGAGGAAGCGCAGGCTGCAGACATGGTGTGCAGATCTGGTTGCTGGGAAAAGCCAGCAGAGGGAGGGACAGGGTGTCTGCTGCGCCCTGGTCCCCAACTGGGGTTCCAGAGGCAGATCTAGGCACAAGCCTCTTGCCCCTCTCAGACCTGGGCTAGTGCTGCACACTTGGGTAGGGATCACCTGGAGGGGAGCGAGGCAGCCCCTTCCCTGCACCAGCACCTGCGCACCACAAAAGGGAGCTGAGACAGGATGCCTGATCACGCCCCTCTTTCCAGGATTCCCCCGGGGGTGAGCTGCAGAGATGGCCTGCTGTCCGCTGCCAGCCCTCTCATCTCACTGGAGATGCACCCCCCGCCCTCACTCTCCCCAAACCTCTCCGGGTCCCCCCTGGTCACCGTGCACCTCAGACACAGGCTGGTGAGTTCTCGCGATCCCTTCCTGGGTTGTCTGTGCGACATGTGAGGAGCCCGGGCCTTGTGCTAGTGGGGGGTCCCAGTGCCCTGTCCCTGCATCGCTGTGGGACCCCAGTGGACAGCTCCTTGATGGCACATGGGTCAATCAGGTGGGTGGACATTTGGTGGCCTTCTGGAACATGTGCAGCCATCACGCTCTGAACCTGGTTCATGACAAGTGTCCTGCTTGGAGGAGGAGCAGGGCTGTTGGGCCCTCAGTTTGTGCGACAGCAGCAACAAGAAGGGCCCTGATGTCTGGGGCCCTTCCTGCTTGCGGTCAGCATGGCAGCTGGCTGCCTGCATGTGTCATAACTGCAGTTCTGCCCAGTTTATCCTGGCCCGTGGATGAAGGCCGCAGTGGCCTGGTCCCTTCCGCAGCCCCACCTGGGTGAGGTGGGCAGACATGGTTCAGAGAGGTGTGGCTCTGGGGCGTGGCCAGGCATGTGCCCTGTGTTTGAAGCTCCTCTTCTGATTTGCAGCACAGAGTGAAACGGGCCCTGCGGCAGGAGCTGTGGTGGCACTGAACAGATGGGACAGGCGTGTCCCGGGTCCCGGGGAGGGCGGAACATGGGTCAAGCGCTCAGAGCCAGGGCATGCATGTGCACAGGAGCCTATCACACATAGCAAGGCGCAGTGCACATGCGGCTCACACGCAGACACAGAATGCACACACCCAGCACATGTGCACAGTGCACCCACCCCCTACACCCATCCCCTGTAGCACATGTACCCCTCACACGTTTAGTACCCACAGCACACGCCCACTTCATTCCGCCACAGACAGCGCTCCTCATGCCCGCCCTCGGTCCTCATGCACACGCCCACCCCCTCCGTGGGTCCTCATGCCCTTCCCAATACTCTGCCTTTGCCCTGTGGTGCTGAGTACACTGTGTGGCTGTGTTCCAGCCTGTCCTCCCGGGATGGGCTCTTGTGCTGTCCGGGGTCCTGCAGGCCTCCTGCAGCCCCACGGCCCTGCAGCACTACCTGTGCTGCACTCTCCACCCTTCATCGTCCCTGTGGTTCCCGACTCAGGCAGCCTCCCCATTTGCAAGCCCTGCCCCGAGCTCTGGAACTCTGGAACGTGCACCTGTGTGCAGCCGCACCTGTCCCTCTGCTGCCCTCTGCAGCTTCACACCTCAGAGACAGTGCAGAGAACACAACCTTGGTGGGCGGAGCCATCGGCCCCCGCCCTGCCTTCCTGCTCTCTCCTGCGACCCTCATGTCTGTGTGTGCGTGTGCGTGTGCGTGTGTGTGTGTGTATGACTCGTTTCTGAAGCTATGACGTGCACTGCTGACTGAAGTCATGTCACTGGGGCTCTCACGGGTGATTGGAGGGCTGGCCAGGGAGCAGCACAGCTGGTGCCTCCAGAGCCCCAGGCGTCAGGGAGGCTGGGGAGGAGCATCAGACCAAATGGGTGCTGCTGTCCTGCTGTGGCAATGTGCACTTTCCTCCTGGGCCAAGAGGCGGTCTGTGCAGAAGGCTCCGGGGGCCTGGGCAGTGCTGGGCCCAAGCCCCTAGTGGGTGTGAGCTGGCTGGAAGCCTCTACCTCCCCTTCTGCTACAGCCTATGCTACTGACGAGGCCAGGTTGAAGATGCACTTCTGTCTTCTGTGAAATGCAAAGGTGCCAATTTGAAAACCAGAGATAAAGAAAGGGTGGACTGAAACGCATCCCGCTTTAATGATCAGTTACTGCACTATTTTTAACAAAGCAAGTGCTTGAATAGGAATCCTGTCTCGGAGAGAGCAGAGGGATTTTTGTCATACCAGAGAGCATGGTAATTAGAGCGTGCTGGAGCCAAGCATCCTCGGGGCTCTGGGGTTTCTCCTTGGAAGGTTGCAGGTGTGTCCCTGGTGACTTGCTGGCCATGGCCATGGGTGTCCTTGCTGTGTGAGGTGGGACCATTTTCTGTGGCCCTCTCAGCAAAGGTCCTCTTGTGCATCTGTTTGCCTGGCCCTATCACGGCCAGGACGTAGCCAAGGTCCCAGCATGGGGACGAGGTCTCGGCCAGGCTGAGGTGGGAGGGTGGCCCAGTGGATCCTGGGGAGGGAAGGGGCCAAAGCCATGAGGCCCTGGACCTGGACAGACCACCCTGCCCAGGACCCTGCTGAGCATGCTGAGTCCTTGCTGGGCCTTCAGGTGGCAGAGGACACCTGGCGCAGGAGGTCTGACCGGCACCTGGCCTCTAACTCTCTGCAGCTATGTGTGCCTCGTGCTGAGAATGGCACCTGTGTCCTCACGGTGGTCGCAGCGGACTGTGCTCAGTGCCGAGTAAAACCGTGTGGCCTGGCCATCCCGTAGGTTACCCATTTGATCCGTGGCTGGCTGCTTCCTGTTCAGCCTGTGGAGCATGGCCAATTCCCTGCATGTCCCAGGTTGGAATTCCCAGGACCAAGTTCAAGGCCACGCAAGGAAGGGGACTGGGTTCTCTTGTGGCAGGGGTGCGGCTCCCGCTGGGGTTTCCCCAGGGTCTGTGGAGGGCGGGGCATGTTTTATGTGAGTGCAGTTTTCTTCTCACTGTGCTCTTTCTTTGGTGCCCCGATGTCCCTGCTCTGCAGACTGTGGTACTCACTGACACAGAGACTGACATGGACACTCGCACACACGTACACATGCCATAGCTGACCTCTCCCAAACCTGCACTGTTAACATCCTGTGGGCTTGAGCTGGGGCGTCCTGCACACAGCCCTCATCCTCACAGCTGTGTCCGTCCAAGTCACCTTGGGGCCCGTGCGTTCCGAGCCCACTGTAAGGAACCTTCGTGTGCCCACCCCGCACTCTCTGGCAGGACTCCCCAAAGTGGAGGCATCTGGTTCACACCTGCGCTTTAATCTTATTTTGTTTTTATCTTTATTAAGTTTATTGGTACATTTTAGGTACCAACAGTTATGTTCATCATTGCAATCTCGCAGCTTTACATGACATATCAGGTTCTTATTTTTCCCCATTCCCCAGCCCTCCCTTCAGCCCCTCTACCCTTCCATGTTTTTCTTTTTCACATAGTTTTTCTTTTCCCTGTTTGTATTTCCCCTACCCCTCCTGCTTCCTCTACTTTTTTAGACATTTTCTTCCTATTATTAAAATTATACATTTTAATCCTTATTTACACGTTTAGTTTTTCACATCAGAGAAAATGTTCAGTATTTACACATGTATAACTTATTAATTTCACTTAAGAGTGTGGACCCAATGTGTATCCACTTAGCTATAAATGTCTCTAGTTTCTCATTCTTTATGGCTGAGAGATACTCCATTTTATAAAAAACCACATCTTCTTTATCCAGTCTCCAGTTGATGGTCCATTGGGCTGTTTCCAAGTTTTAGCTCTTACAAGCTGTGCCGCTATAGACATGGGTGTTGCATATATTGTTGTGGTATGATTCTTCTAATACTTTTGGGAAGATACCCAGCAGAGGAATAGCTGGGTCAAATAGGACCTCTAATCCTAGTTGTTTGAGGTATCTCCATACTGATTTCCACAGTGGTTGCACCAGTCTGCACTCCCACCAACAGTGGAGAAGGGTTCCTATCTCTCCACAACCCCACCAACATTTGTTATTGGTTGATTTCTTGATAGCAGCCATTCTTTCTGAGGTGCGGTGGAATCTCAGTGTTGTTTTCATCTGCATCTCTCAAATGACCAGTGGTGTTGAACATTTTTTCTTCCTTTCTGTCTTTCTTTTCTTTTCCTTTCTCTCTTTCTCTCTTTCTTTCTTGGTTTTTTGAGACAGGGTCTCACTATGTAGTTGAGACTGACCTGGAACTCACTGTGTAGCCCAGGCTGGTCTCGCTCTCACAGCGATCCTCCTGCCTCAGCCTCCCGAGTGCTGGGATTACAGGCGTGCACCACGACGCCCAGCCTACTGCTCTTACTTCTTTGTCTGAGAAATGTCTGTTCATTTCAGATGCCCATTTTTGAATCGGGTCTTTATATTTGGGGTCTGATTTTTATCTTTACTGTCTAGAATATATAAAGAACTTAAATTGGTTTTGCTGTCCCTTTTTACTCCCCCACAGAGGTGGGTGTGGAATCGCAGGTGAGGGTCGGAGCACTGAGGGTGCACTGCCCCGTGCCCCGTGGAGAGCAGCAGGTCGTGCAGTGTGTCGGTGCCGTGGAACTATGTGTCCCACTCAGAGTGGCGTCCTCCCACAGCCGTCTGCCCAGCACTCGGGGCGCCCAGTTGTGCAGATGCTCTCAACTGTCACCAGCACACCCATTGCAGATGTGGCCCAGCGCCCACTTTTTCAGACCACGTGTGCATTTCCGTGCAGAGGCACCAGGCCACAGCTGACTTGTCCATCACTGATGGTGCACTGGAGCAGTTCTTCCCCAGAGGGGGCTGTGGTGAGAGTCCCAGCCCCCAGCGCCTGGCCCTGCACCCGCCACAGCACAGCCATCTGGGCCACTGTCCTCACCCACTTGTCATTTGCTTTTATCTGAAGTCAGTGACTTCTCTGGTGTTGCTGGGTATCCGACACTCTCTCCTGTTCAATCTGCCTGCTGCTGCTGCTTCTCCTCGTTGATTTTTAGGCCTCCATGTGGCAGGTGAGTCATTTGTGGAGTGCGTGTGTTGCAAGTTCCTTTGGACCGGGTCCACCGTTTTCTTTTTTGGTGTCTGCTGATGAATAGCAGGTTTAAATTTCAGTGACCCCAGTTTGTGGGGCTCTTCCCTGGGGCTCTGTGCCCTCTGCGTGAGGTAGAGGAATTCCAAGGACACAAGTTCTGTGCAACCTGAAACATTTCTGCTTTCTTTGCCATCCAGATCAATGGCCCCTGTCTAATTGTGTCTGTGTGTGCTACGAGGTCGGGGTCGAGATTTGTCCTTTCCTTAACTCAGGTCCAATTTACCGGCACCATTTGGCAAGGTGAACCTTGGGCTCACACAAATCAAGCAACCTTCTCCATGCCGTCGCCTGGACTCCACCTGAGTCCCTGTGCCTGCTGGCTCCGAATCTGTCCTTACA